AACTTTGTTCTCACCCACAATTATTTCCGGTTTGAGAACAACTTATACCTCCAGATCAGCGGCACAGCCATGGGTACACGCATGGCCCCACAGTATGCTAACATCTTTATGGCTGACCTAGAACAACGTTTCCTCAACTCCCGTCCCCTTTCACCCCTCCTCTACCTACGGTACATCGATGACATCTTTATGATCTGGACACATGGCCAAGAAACACTGGAGATATTCCACAGAGATTTCAACAACCTACACCCCACCATCAACCTCAGCCTGGACCATTCTACACGAGAGATCCACTTCCTGGACACCACCGTACAAATCAACAATGGAAAATTAGACACCACTCTCTACAGAAAACCCACTGACTCATACAGTTACCTACATGCATCCAGCTCCCATCCAGAACACACCACACGATCCATCGTCTATAGCCAAGCCCTTCGATACAACCGCATCTGCTCTAACCCCACTGACAGAGACCAGAAGCTTCAGGATCTCTACCAAGCATTTATAAATCTCAACTACCCACCCAGAGAAACAAAAAAGCAAATTGAAAGAGCCAGACGAATACCTAGAAACCATCTACTTCAAGACAGACCCAAGAAAACCAACAATAGAACACCACTTGTCATCACCTACAACCCCCAACTTAAACCTGTCCAACACATTATCAATAAACTACAGCCTATATTGGAACAGGATACCATACTCAAAGAGGCTCTGGGAGACAGACCCATAGTCTCCTATAGACAACCACCTAACCTCAAGATGATTCTTACCAACCACCACAGGACATACCACACTAATACCAACCCTGGTACCTTCCCTTGCAACAAACCCCGTTGCCAGCTTTGTCCACATATTCATTCTGCTGATACCATTATTGGACCTAACCAAGTGAGTTATAAGATCAAGAACACATATTCCTGCGCATCCAGAAATATAATCTACGCTATCATGTGCCGAAAGTGTCCGTCTGCTATGTACATTGGACAAACATCTCAGACACTTCGCCAAAGGATTAATGCCCACAAAACAGATATCAGACAAGATCACAAAGAGAAAACAGTTTCTTGCCACTTTAACCAGAAAGGACACTCTCTAAATGACTTAGCCACCTGCATTCTGCTACAAAGACCTTTTACATCTGCACTTGAAAGGGAATCCTCTGAACTGTCATTCATGTTAAAATTCGACACTTACCACCAGGGACTTAACAAGTCTTTGAACTTTCTCACCCATTATCAAGACAGTTTCCCCAATTATCACCTGTAATACCATTAACTCACAAACATCCCACTCTCCCTACCTCTAATATCATCAATTCACAGACACTTACCTTCCTTCCTCCCCCTTCCCACCCCCCCGCCTCCTCCTTCTGTTCTGCAATGTGATTTGTCCTTTTCATATTTGTTCTTTTTTTTAATTGTATCCTTTGGTATATATGGTTGTGACTACTTTCTTCCACTATTTGATCTGAGGAAGTGGGTCTGGCCCACGAAAGCTCATCATCTAATAAACCATCTTGTTAGTCTTTAAAGTGCTACATTGTCCTGCATTTTGCTTCAACTACCCCAGACTAACACGGCTACATTTATATCACTATTGAGCCATTTAGTATCTTCTGCAAATGTTGCCACCTCACTGTTCACCCCTTTCTCCAAATCATTTATAACAAGGTTGAATAGGATTGGTCCCTGTATGGACACTTGGGGGACAATATAATCTATTAATGAAGCCAGGGGAATCTATTAATGAAGACTTGTACCATATCCAGGCTGAGCGCTAATCACACCTCATCCCTTCTGCACATGCTTCCCCCACCCCGTGTGTGTGAAAACTGAGACCACTCACCTGATGATCCCTCCCCACCTTCAGAGGATGCCTGAGAGATCTCCAGGGCCTGGTATATAGAGTCCAGGGTCAGGGTGACAGTGCTGGCCACCTCCTCGTAGCCAGAGCCTTGGCTATCTGGCCATAGATATTAGCGTTGTGTCGCCAGAAGCGGAGATCCTGCAGGGTCTCCTCCTCACCCCAAAGCTCCAGGAAGGACAGGATCTCTGCCCTAGACCATGATGGTACATGCTGTTTGGTGCCCCTGGCTGGGTTCTGGGAGGGTCAGGGAGGTCTTGGGGGCTTGTGGCTGGCCCATTACTGCTAATGTGGGTGGCAGTCAGAGCCGTGCCGTCTCTGGGCTGGCTTCCTGCCACAAGGCTTGTCCCGGGTTCCTGCAGCTTTAACAAGTGGCAGGAGACAGGAACTACAGAGTTGTGATTAGTCCGGATGGAGCAGCCACCAGGGCACCTCTGTTGTTTCCTGGAGACCTCTTCTTTCGAAAGAACTCCCTCTTCTGCGTTCAAAAAAGCTTGTTTGGAAAAAAGACTTCTTCCGCATAGAATGAGGTTTACTGCTATCAGAAAAGCCCTCCATTCTTTTGATGTCCTGTCGAAAGAACTCATTAGCAGTGTGGACACAAGTATTGTTTTTCCAGAAAAACGCTGCAGTGTAGATGCTCCTCTAGTTATGTGTCTTTGTGTCGCATTTCACCAAGCAAAGTTTAGTCACTACCTTGAATTTATCCTGCAGTAGTTATTTGCTGATCATTAATTACACTAAGCACATGTTGCTACCTGTAGCCACTGCCTTTGAATGTTATCATAGACTATAAGTATGATATAGTATGATATGAGGTCCTGTGGATCAGGAGGCCATCTGTTCGGGAATGTGGCATGGCACCTGTTCTAGACGGGGTTACTCTCCCCCTGAAAGAACAGGTACACAACTTGGGAGACCACCTGGACCCTTTTTTAACATTTCTTCAGTGGCCAGGAGTGTCTTTGGGCAACTTCGTTTGATCCGCCAGCTGCGACCCTTCCTGAACAAGCATGACTTGGCCACAGTGATCCATGCTCTTGTTACATCCCGACTGGAAACTGTAATGCACTTTATGTGGGGCTGCCTCTAAAGAGCCTTCAGAAACTTCAACTGGTGCAGAATGCGGCTGCTCGAGTTTTAACTAACACTCGTTATATGGAGCACATTATGCCAGTGCTTCAGCAGCTGCACTGGCTTCCGGTATGTTTCTGGGCACAATTTAAGGTTTTAGTTATGACCTATAAAGCCTTAAATGAGTTGGGTCCAGAGTATCTGAAGGACCGTCTTCTCCCATATGAACTTGCCCGGGGATTGAGGTCAGCTGGGGAGGCTTTGCTCCATGTTCCCCCACTTGTGGAGATAAGATTAACATCACCGTGGAACAGGGCCTTCTCAGCTTTTGCTCCCAGGCTGTGGAATTCTCTTCCTCGGGATATTCGCATGGCGCCAACGCTAGCGTTGTTTCGGCATCAGGTTAAAGCCGCCCTTTTTACTTGTGCTTTTATTAATGTTTGAGTCTCTATGTGTGTGTTCTTACTCTCTATGGCTGTGTCTAGACTGGCCCCTTTTTCCGTAAAAGCAGCTGCTTTTCTGGAAAAACTTGCCAGCTGTCTACACTGGCCACTTGAATTTCCGCAAAAGCACTGATGACCTCATGTAAGATTGTCAGTGTTCTTGCGGAAACACTATGCTGCTCCCGTTCGGGCAAAAGTCTTTTTCCAAAAAACTTTTGCACAAAAGGGCCAGTGTAGACAGCAGAGAGTTGTTTTCCGCAAAAAGCCCCAATCGTGAAAATGGCGATCGGGGCTTTTTTGTGCAAAAACGCTTCTAGACTGGCACGGACACTTTTCTGCAAAAAGTGCTTTTGCGGAAAAGCGTCAGTGCCAATCTAGACGTGCCTTTCCGAAAATGCTTTTAACAGAAAACTTTCCGTTAAAAGCATTTCCGAAAAATCATGCCAGTGTAGGCGTAGCCTATATGTTTTTAGCTGGTTATGTCCCTCTGAGGTCTCATATTTTTAATTCTTATGTTTTAAATTTTTATATATATTTGTATTTTTGTTTGTTTATTCTTGTAAGCCGCCTTGAATATTTGAAATAGAAAGGCGGGGTAACAATATTTAAATAAATAAAAATAAATAAAATAAATGTATGAGATAAAGACTCATTTTATTTCAAAGACTCAAGTTTAATCATAGAAACTTTTTTTGTTCAAACATGCGCCATGACAATGAGGAACGGGAGTGTGGTTAGGACTCTCACTCCTATCTGTAACTAACTTTCATTGTGAAACCAGTCCCTATGGATGGAGAGCACAGGGCACTATGAGAGACTGGGAACCTGGCAGGAATGTGGTGGGTAAGTTTGGGGAGGGCACAGAACAGAGTTCTGTAATGTCTGTAGGGAGAGTTGTGCACATATGTGCTCATGCTGAAGGTAATGAGGGAACTAAACATCTCTGTATGGCCTTCTAAGAGCTGTAGCATCTCCTTCCATCCATGTATCATGCATCCAATCCTTGTGCCCTTTCCATGCTACCCAGCCTCAGACTTTCTTTAGTTGTCGCTCTCCACACTTTTGTTTTGCTCTGTTGACTGTAGCACATGTATCCTCCTTACTCCTAGTTCAGTGTTGAATCTGATGGTGGTGCTCCCTGGTCAAGGTGAGCATTGTGAGACACCTCCTGGTAGCCAGTTAGGGCTACATAACCAATGCAGTGTCTACACTCCTGCTGCATCACTCTAACTATGTCACAAAAGCTCCATGCTAGCTGGGTGGCTTTGTTATTTCAGCATAGCAGGGGACTTCCATGAGTGGAAGGAAGATTGCAGAGTGTACATCTCCTCTGTTTTGTCAAGGAAAGCCGACTTTGGTCAACTGAACTGTGTCGCGCAGACATGCAGGGACATGAAGTGACCTACCCAAGGTTGCAGAGGCTGTTTTGTGGTGAGGCACAGAATTGAACTTGCACAGCCAAAGGCCCCAATATGAAGCACTATCCACCCTCTCTAATACCCATTGACATTTCTGAGCAGAGTCTGGTTGTGTTTCCAAATCAAACCTCCACTGTCTGAGGAGACAAAGAGGTTGGGAGGGAATGTTAGGCAACCAGTTGGTTTACCTGAAGTTCCCCCACAAAAGAGAGCATCTGTTTCAGCGTGAGAGCTTACAGAGGATGTCACAGGAGGCTACGGCTTGGGTCTGAGTGGGGCATTTTCCCCACCCTCTGCCTCATGCCCCAAGGGCAGCGTGATCTCAGAGTACACCCAGAAGAAAGGGAAGACTGTCTCAGTGAAAGTGTCTGTGAATCGATAGATTGGAGCCTCATTAACACCATCATAAAATGACACCCACCCCGCCTCATAGTCTAGAAACACCCCTATTTTCTTGGGGATCACCTTTATGGAGAGAAAATTCTCAGGGTTTGTACAAGTCCGGTAATGACCTCCACATTGATCCATTGCCCAGATCCCCTCCTCAGGGGAAAACTTGATCCAGCCCTTTCTCCTCACAGACTTGTTGGCCACCCCCACTGCCCAGACTCTCCCCTGCCCCACCTCTGCCTCCCAATAATGTCTCCCTGCTGTGATTCCCTCACAGCCTAGCACGCAGGTTTCACAGTCAAATCTCTCAGGGTTGTCGGGCACGTCTGGCTGTGAGACTCTCCATTTCACACTTTTCCCATCCTCCGGCACGTAGAGTCGGGAACTTGCTGTGTTTGGATCCATAGTCACAACCACTGGGTGGGGAGAGAGAATCCATGTATTAGGGGCAAACCATACCCCAGGGAACTCGGGAACCATTTGCTATGTTTCCCCAGGTTTTTTTTCTAGCTGCTACATTCCCTGATTTCCTGTGTCTCTGCTCCAGGAGGAAGGACATCTAGGGGGCGGAAGGAAGATAGCTGACCCATACCTTTAAGGAATGGAGGTAGAGGTGTAAGAAGAAAAGCCTCTTCAGCACATACAGTCTGTTAATCCAAGGGAAAACAAAAAGAGGAAACCTTTGGGAACAGTGTGTCTGTGCGGGATGCAGGAGGGTGATTTCCCCATGGGGATACTCAGGGAAAAGCAGACTGGACACACCACATTTAAATATGAAGGGGGAAGGATGTGATTCTGCCAGCCACATCAGGTGGGGCGGAAGATACCAGGCATTACTGTTTACCCAGAGAGGATGGGAGAGATCCTCGAGCAGTGGTCCCCAAACTTTAGGGGCTGTTGGGCACCCAGGGGCGGGGCTGCGCATGGGCCGTGCACCCAGGGTGCAAGAATGGCTTGGGCCGGCCCTGGTCACTCAGCGGGTGCACATAATGCCCCAGCGGGCGCCATGGTGCCCACAGTCACCGCGTTGGGGGCGACTGTCCTAGAGGAATGGAAAAGGCAAATGTAGTGCCAATCTATAAATAGTATAGCCCAGTGTCTGTGCATCTGTAACGCTGACGTACACCTCACCTCCCTGCCCCCCTTCCCCTCCCTCCATGGTGGTTTGGCCGAGCTCTGTGCCGCTCAGCTGGGCCCCGGCGGGAGGGGAAGGGGAGCAGGGCGCTGACATACACAGTCAGGGGGCATAGGTGTGTACGTCTGGGTTACAGACTCACAGACACTGGGCTACTATATATATGATAACAATTTTCACATATTTCATGAATCAAAAGGACCTGCTTTTGAACTCACCTAAAAACATGAGCAGTGTAGTTTTGGCAAAAGCAGCCATGACTATTCCTCCAATGTAAGAAAACATCCCAATGAAGACAATATAGATGTCCCTGAGACAATGTGAAAACAAATAAACTCCTAAAAAACTGGTCAGAGAAATAGAAGTGAATGTAGCTGCTCCATATCCTATATAGATTTCATTCCAGCAGAGTGGTTCATCCAATTCATACAACGTAAAAAGAGAACTCCCACCAATCCAGGTAAAAAAATACATCATGAAGGTAAAAAGCAATACAATGATTAAAGTTCGTTTTTTACAAGTGGAAGCTTTAAACCCGTGGCAGCCCGGCTGTACACGGCCAGGGGGTGGGGCTGTGTACATCACCACCCCCCTTCCCCTCCTACTGTGGCACCAACCTGAGTGCTGCGCCCCTCAGCTGGGCTGCTGGGGGAGCCAGCAGCGCAAGGGGCTGTTTGGGCTCCCCTGGGGTGGGAGGAGAAGGGAGGGTGGTGATGTACACGGCCCCGGCCCTGGCCCTAGCCGTGTACATCATCGCGCCTCCCTCCTCCCTCGCGGCAGCCCGGCTGGGCAGGCATAAACAGGAAGAATTGAAAGTCCTGACACAGAAAAATAACTATAATGTAATTGGAAGAACAGGGATTTGGTGGGTAAGTCATATGGCTGCACCTCTGTCATGGATGGATATAGACAGTTTAGGAAGGACAGGCAAGGGAGAAAAGGTGGAGGAGAGCTGAGAGAGAAGAGGGTAGGCAGTAGGAGAGAGAAAGAGAGAGAGAGAGACAGAGCGAGAGCGCTCAGGAGAGAAGACTAATTGGCTAATCTATAAATAGTGGTATAAGGACAATCCAGGGAATTATAGACCAATCAGCTTAACTTTGGTACCCAGAAAGATCATGGAGAAAAGAATTAATTTTTAGCGCCTACAAGATAATAAGGTGATAAGAACCAGTCAACATGGATTGGTTTGAAATACATGGGATGAAATTCAATAAGGACAAATGGAAGGTACCTCAATTAGAAATACAAAATGAGAAATGACTATAGAAAAAGCAGTACTGAGGAAAAGAATTTGTGGATTATAATGAATTACAAACTAAATATGAGTCAACAAAGTAATACTATTGCAAAAAAAGTAAAGATAAACCTAAAATGTATTATCTTGAGAGCTGTAAGCAAACAAATCGTAATTTTTCTATTCTACTCAGCACTGTTAGAGTCTGAACTGGAATACGGTGTCCAGTTTTGGGCACCATCCTTGGGGAAAATGTGGACAGACTGGGGAAGGTTCAAGTAAGAGCAACAAAATTATTAAAAGAATGGCCATCAGAGCACCTGTGCTTTTTCCCAGAGGGGTTTCTTGTGTAAAAACCTCACCAGAGCATCCACACCTGTCTTTTTGCACAAGAGCTTTGTGCAAAAAGAAGTTATTCCTCATGGGAATATGATTTAGACAGTATTTGGTCCTGCCATGGAGGCAGGGGACAGGACTCGATGACTCTCGAGGTCCCTTCCAGTCCTAGTGTTCTATGATTCTATGGGAGAGGAAGAACTCTACCGGCAAAAGCCCTCTGTCCTGTCAATTTTCTTGGGCAAAAACGTGCTTGAGGTGTGGATGCGTTGCCATTTTTTGTGCAAATGTCCTCGTGTGTGTGTGTTTTATTTCTGTTTGCTGCAGCACATGGATTTGTTACAAGGACACTAAAACACTGTGCAAGGAAAAGGAGCAAAAATCTCCATGAGGTTGGGGAATTTCGATATAGGAAAAGCATTCGTTTTATTTACCTGCATATTGTCTGACTTTACTCCAACCTGAAAACCAAACACATGAGGAGATGAGAATTCTACTGCACAGCATCTTAGCAAAACACAAATTCATACGGAGTTTGCATTAAGATGAGAGATGGAACTTACCAAGTTCAGCCAGGAGCTTTCCTAATAATACAACAACCCAGAAATAATAGTTAGTAAATTACATCAGAGTGTGTGTTTTAGTGAATATACATTAAAGTGTTTGTGTCACTTCAAAATGTTGCCAGCACTGATTGCTATTTTTTGCTACATCATCCATAAAGATTAACTGTATCTCATTACAAACATTTATTGAGGATTTAGGATCAGATTCTGCCTTTGATTTCTGCCCTAAACATCCAGGCTGTGTCTACACTGGGCTACTTATTCCAGAAAAGCAGCCGCTTTTCTGGAATAACTTGAAAGCTGTCTACACTGGCCACTTGCTTTTCCGGAAAAGCAATGACGATCTACTGTAAAATTGTCAGTGCTTTTCCGGAAAAACTATGCTGCTCCTGTTTGGGCAAAAGTCCTTTTCTGGAAAAACTATTCCAGAAAAGGGCCAGTGTAGACAGCACAGTAGTCTTTTCCGCAAAAAAGCCCCTATCGCAAAAATGACGATCGGGGCTTTTTTCTGGAAAAGCACGTCTACATTGGCCACGGACGCTTTTCCAGAAAAAGTGGTTTTCCGGCAAAGCATCCTGCCAATGTAGACGCGCTTTTTCCGGAAATACTTATAACGGAAAACTGTTCCGTTTTAAGCATTTCCGGAAAAGGGTGCCAGTGTAGACACAGCCCCAATGAAATGTTTCTCCGCCTCTCCCATTCTCTCTCATATTCAAACTCCTTTTTTAATGAAGCAGGCATGTTAAATATATTCACATTTGGAGAACAGTCCATGCAGCTTCAGAGAATAACATTGACATCTACTAAAATATAACAATAATATTAAATATGGGAAGCAATGTCTCCATTTGCTACTACAGTCAATTCAAACATGGAGTCCTAGGGACAGCTGCCAGGGTTCCAAATATGAAGCGGTGATAGTAGCAATAGGATTGGTGTAGCTCGACAGAGATATGTTAGCTGAGTTTCTAGGCCAGGCTTTTCTCTTCAGCCTCTATGTACCGGCTGAAACTCTCTTAACCAGGATACTCTGGTCCAGCAACCTCCATGGTCCTGCACAGATGTTGCAGGACCAGAGTCCCAGTGGAAGGCCAGCAGCAAGGATCCCTGCAGGGATGGCACAGCAGTGGGCTGCCAACAGGGAGCTGATGGCGGGGCCATCCAGTGTGTGGCAGTGGGGCTGCCCAGTGGGGTCGGGAGCCCCAGCGGACAGCATGTGCAGTGGGGCAGGAAGTCCCTGCATGCGGTGCACACAGCTGCCTACAGCCCCAGCACAGGGCTGCCCTGTAGGTCCAGGAGCCACAGCAGCAATGGCTGCCAAGCGGGGTCAGCATGGCAGTGGGGCCAGTGGGAGGTGGAGAACTGGTTGGGGAGCCAGTGGCCAGGCCACGGAGGCTGGTGGCAGGGGTCCAAAAATGACCTCCTTTGGTCCAGCATCTGGGACCGGTCAGGTCCTGAGGGTGCTGGACCAGGGAAGTCCAGCCCTTGTTTCTTATTGTGCAAAACTCCAGCAATGACATTTAACACTCAGTCAATTCCACTATCTACATATTTCAAAGAAGCCTCTTTAATTGGAGTATAATTTTATCATATTACTTTACTTTTTTTTCTGTGATTCCAGAAATAGAAGCTGGCTGGAAGAATGATAGAAGCCAAGATAACCAGGATCACAATCACAGTTACCATCCAGGGAGAGGTCCTAGGGAAAAACAGATCTACAAGGCAAAACTGACATTGACAACAGTTCTGGAACACATGTAGAACTCGAATAAGCAATTATGACCCTGTGATTAGTGAAAAGAATTTACAGAGCAGAGTTCAGAGAGAGTGATGGCTCCTTTGCTACTAAACCAATTCAACCTGGTCATGGAACATCGTTAATTCACCTGTTTACTCTATACATTAGAATTATAATTAGTCTAGAGGTAACTATATCTCTTGACACAATTGCATTTATAATGCAAAAGAGAGGTGTGAATGGTAAAGTAGGGTATGTCTACACTACCACTCTAGTTCGAACTAGGGTGGTTAATGTAGGCATTCGAAGTTGCAAATGAAGCCCGGGATTTAAATATCCCGGGCTTCATTTGCAACTTCGAATGCCTACATTAACCACCCTAGTTCGAACTAGGGTGGTTAATGTAGGCATTCGAAGTTGCAAATGAAGCCCGGGATTTAAATATCCCGGGCTTCATTTGCAACTTCGAATGCCTACATTAACCACCCTAGTTCGAACTAGGGTGGTTAATGTAGGCATTCGAAGTTGCAAATGAAGCCCGGGATTTAAATATCCCGGGCTTCATTTGCAACTTCGAATGCCTACATTAACCACCCTAATTCAAACTAGGATGGTAGTGTAGACATACCCGTAAGGTGTATAAGACCAGAAGGAATTGGTAAAATTTTGTAAAATAATCGGTAGGGAAGCCAGAGTTATTTCTAAATCCGTGAACTTATCCAGGGCTTGGTCTGAGGGAGAGACACAGAGATCTTTCTCCTTTCCTAAAATAGTTGGCTTAATACACGCTGAAGAGGACACAACCACTGGAGCATGTCTACCGCTGTCAGGGGTATGATTTTTTCATACCCTTCATTGACATTCCTACGTTAACATAAGTGTTAAGTGTAGAACAGGCCCAATGTCAGAATTTTCCAAGAAACAGTCCCACATTCTATAGTTCTGTCCTGCATTCTTTATTCCTAGATGTGTAACCTTACATTTCACTGCACTAAAACACATTTTGTTTCAATAGTCCCAGTGTAACGGACTGCCCCCTCCCCATGCTTTACGAAAGGGACTTATGGACACAAAGATGCATCACTCAAAGATGCTTAGCACAAATTGCCTCATGTAACCCATCACTCTTCATGTTTTAATCTGCTGGGTCAGGTCTGTGTATTTTATTTCGGTGTGTGTATCATTCTTGTGAGTAACATTAGGCATTTGGAGTATGGAATGCTTTGTGGTTTTAAATGTGCATAGGAAAGTCATCAAGGGTGTTTCCAATGTTGGGATGCCTCCATTTCTGGGCAATTATATTAAAATAGCCTTTTATCCTTTAAGTCTTAGCAGTGGTTGGTCCTACAAAGTCATGGGACCTCCCTAATTGGTAGGGGTTGGCCAGATAACTCCCCATCTAAGTGTGGAATGCAGAAAGAGGATTCCCATCTAAAGTGTGACTCTATAAAACAATAGGGAGCTAGCAGTGTCTTTGGCTGGCGTGGCACGTACAACAAAGTGAACCAGAGAGGCCCGGGAAGAGGAGAATTCCCTGATGTGGATGGTTAGCTGATAATAAGAACAGTTTTAGGGTGAGTTTGTTCTAAGTTTATATTGAGGTTTCAGTGTTAGAATTAGCCGAGTGTTTTCTGCTATTTTGAGTTTGTAATCTACTTTGCTCTGCCGGTTTTCACTTATTGCCACTTCAATCCTACTGCCTGTGCTTAATAAAATCACTTTTACTTACTATCAAGCCCAGTGTCAATAAATGTAACCTGGGGGGCAACCAGTGGGAACATTTCCCCGTTCATTGTTACAGGGGACTCACCCAAGTAATTCTGATCCCATTTGGGGAGTGGTATCGCAGGAAGCTGGGCCCAAAGCTGTATTTGCCTTGGAACTGAAGAATTTCGGTGTCTGTGCTGCTCCTTGAGTGGAGAGGCAGGTATCTCAGCTCGGGGCCTTGGTTGGGGGAGACCAGGGAGCTGGCCAGCAGGACCAGGCGGGGAGGAGCCCCAGAGAGAGGGAAGGCGAGTGGCAGTGGCCGTAGCAGCACCCTGTGAATCGCCCCGTAGGGGTTCGGTCCGCCCCCACAGCATCGCTCGTCACCAACTTTGGGGGAATTGGATCTGCTGGCAGCGATACTATCTGGTTCAGGCCACTGCCCTCCGTCAGTGCCCACACAGCCTGGGCTTTCCCCCTTCCGGGGAATGGGAAATAAGGAATAATTCGTCCTTCCTCAGTTATGCCGAGGGGGGGAGTGCAGGGTAGGGAGGAGAGAGGGGGGCCCGGGCCCACCCTCACTCCTGGACCCCAGCCCAGGGCCCTAAAGAACCCGGACCCGCTTCGGTCCGGGTCCGGTTGACAGGGGCGTCCTCCCCATACCTGTCCAAGTGAGGGGCCCTTATATGGCCCTCCCCTGGGCTACTTCCTCTCCGGAAGACCTTCCGGACCCCGTTGCTCCACGGCGGTCTGCGAAGTCCTGCCCTCCGCAGCCAAGAGGGGTCTTTCCCCCCCCCCTCCCCGGACCCGCTTCGGTCCGGGTCCGGTTGACAGGGGCATCCTCCCGAAACCTGTCCATGTGAGGGGCCCTTATATGGCCCTCCCCTGGGCTACTTCCTCTCCGGATGACCTCCCGGACCCCGTTGCTCCATGGCGGTCCGCGAAGTCCTGCTCTCCGCAGCCAAGAGGGGTCTTTTTCCCCCCTGTCCGGGGCGGCCTTTAAAACTCCCGCCACGCCCGGCGCCGGAGGGTGACGTACTCCTGACGTCACCAGTTGACTCCACCCCTTCCGCAGCGTCGGTGCCTCTGCCGCCACCGAGGCGGTTAGCTGGTCTGCGGCGCGAGTACAGCCGGCACAATGCTGGTGTGCGCCCTCCCGCCGCCCGAATAGGGCTTTTGCCGCGGGGGTTTTAGTGCGGGGTTGCGGGGCCCCGTCACACCCCTCAAGGGTTACTTGAAACTGTTTATTACAAGGGGTCATCTGTGACCTCACCCCATCACACCCAGCTACTCAAATGATCCACAGTCAGATCTACTTTGTGTCATCTGTGGATTTTCGGAGAAGTGATTTTTATATTTACTTCCAGATCATTGATACATTATGGAATAGCATCAGCTCTAGAACCAACCTCCGTGGAACTCCACTGAAAACCCCCTATTGTTTCATGTAATATAAGTGCCCTGCTGCAGATGTAACAGATGAATTCCTGTGGTATTCAGGAAGAAGGGTATAGATGGGAATCAGTAATAAGCCCACAATAATGGCTCCCACCAACTTCCCCATTATCCATTTTCCACCAGTGGAAGCTTGGAAGGATACCGACCTGCTATGTGAATCACAGACTCCTTTTCTATATTGAGGCGAGGGTTCCGGACACAGCAGGACATGTTCCCATTGGAATTTTCTGCTACAACAATAGAGATCTGTGTCTGAAATAGGCCATCAGGCTGCCGGGATGTTTCTTCAGAAGATGATTTTAAAAGCTGTCCATGGCGATCTTTCCACTGCATTTTAGGTTCTGGGTACCATCCAGATGACTGACACACAAACCGAATCCCTCCATCCTGATAACCCTCAATGAAGATGTGAGGCGCTGAGCCTAAACCTGGAAGGGGGTTTTCAATAAACCTGTTAGTTCAATGGATTATGTCCTCCTTCAACCTCAAAGGTGAAACTTTAAACCTTCACAGAAGGAAAACATGAATTCTCTCCCCTCATCACTGTGGCTCATTCTCCTTTCACTTGCTCTTCTTCCATGTTCTAGGAAAGAGGGATGTTTAGTGGGTGAAAAGGTTCGATATTTATCTCCATGTGAGCAGTATGTTCCGCACAGAGGAGAAAACTAAGGGCCAAAACCTTAAACAGAGGGAACAGCCCAAGCAAATGATCCTTCTGCTCAGGAAAATGCATGAGGGACTGAGGAAACTCTAGTTATTTTGAAATAATATTGCAGTGTAGACATACCCTTTTATATGATTAAGATATGCTGTATACAAGATGGCTACGTCTATACTGGCGTGATTTTCTGAAAATGCTTTTAACGGAAAAATTTTCCGTTAAAAGCATTTTCGGAAAAGCACGTCTAGATTGGCAGGACGCTTTTCCACAAAAGCACTTTTGGCGGAAAAGCGTCTGTGCCAATCTAGACTAACTTTTCTGCAAAAAAGCCCCGATCGTCATTTTCACAATCGGGGCTTTTTTGCGGAAAACAGTACTGTGCTGTATACAATGGCCCTTTTGCGCAAAAGTCTTTCGGAAAAAGACTTTTGCCCAAACGGGAGCAGCATAGTATGTCTGGAAAAGCACTGATGATTTTACGTGAGATCGTCAGTGCTTTTCCAGAAATTCAAGCGGCCAGTGTAGACAGCTGGCAAGTTTTTCCGCAAAATCATACGATTTTGTGGAAAAACTTGCCAGTCTAGACACAGCCCAGATGTCTTGTCAGCTATCATTTGAAAACTGCTTGCTTCAAATCTTACTTCACTTTGTAAAGTTTAGGAATTAGCCTGTGTGTTTATCTTTTCTTTCTTTTGTTAGCAATTCTGACATTTGTGCTCCATGGCTTATAATCCCTTAAAATCTTTTTCTGTAGTTAATAAACTTTTTTTACCTTTTATCTGAACCAGTGGATTTGGATTCAAGTTTGTGGAAAACTCCACTTGAGGTGACACAGCTGGTATATAAACCCTTTGTTGAAAGGTAAGATGCTATGGCTAGGTCTAGACTACATGGCTATGTCGACGGAGCCATGTAAAATAGTTTATTCGGCATAGTCAAAGAAATGGGGATGTAAATAATCCCCGCATCATTAAAATTAAAATTAAAATGGCCTCCACGCTGTGTCAATGATCAGCTGATCCGGCACAGCGCAGCAGTCTAGACACGGCATGGTTGACAAGGGAAAGCTTTGTCGACCGCTCCAGTATGCCTCGTGATACTAGGTTATTTAAATCCCTGCTTCTTTGACTATGCCTAATAAACTATTTTTCATGGCTCTGTCGATGGAGCCATGTAGTCTAGACGTAGCCTATATGAGCTTGCGCTGAAAAAATGAGGATGAACGGCTCTTGCACAAGAGAGGGTTTTGCGCAAAAAGGAGCCATCTACGCAGCTCCTTTTTGCGCAAAAGCCTGGTGCGCAAAAACGGCCCCTAATTAATTATGCAAATGAAGGGTGGCAATATGCAAATCCATGCTTCATTTGCATAGGCTTTTGTGCAAGAAGGAAGCAATATAGACATAGCCTATGAGTGAACTGAGTAGTACAAGAATCACATTTTTGAGGTACAACGTTGGGGTGAAGAATTAGCTGATGTGACCTTGTGTGTGGTTCATGAGTGTCTGGGAAAGTATTCATGTAACTTGGCTGGGAGTGACTTGCATGCAAGTGTCTGTGTGTGAACAGAGTGTGGAGGGGGTCTATTGTGCACCAGCAAATTAGTGTGAAGGACACCTTCAGGCGAATTCAGGGGGTGCAGCAATTTAGTGGTCCAGTTTGTACCCTGGGCCATGTTAGGGGGACCTACAGGAACATGATTTTCAATTTGGTAAGGTTTAGAGACATTGACAAAGCCTTTCCAATTCTCCTAGTCAGAAATCCAAATAAATGCATATTACTAACCTGCTACTGTTAGCTCCAATTTGGCTTCTGCATAAAAAGTGCTTGACTGGAAGAAGCAGCTGTACAGCCCTTCATCGGTAGGTGTGATACTGTGTATTCTTAAGGCAACACTTCCATTAGCAATGTCATCTTTCAGCAGCTCCGTCCTGCCCCGAAATCCTACATTCTGCTGCTCTTCATGATCTCGCCTGTCCTTATAGAGATGAATAACTTCAGAGGGCTGGAGGGATATGAACCAGCGCACCTCCATATCTTCGGCACTCATCTGAGGAAGGAGCTGACAGGGTAACAGGGCATCTTTGCCCACAACAGCAGGGACAGGATGATCAGGTCCAACAACTCTGAAATTCACTGTTAAAGGAACCAGGACATGCCGAAAATTATATTCCTGCAAAACAGGCTCCATTGCACATTTTGGCAGGTAGGGTGGACTGGAGCTTTGTGTTCAGGGCTGAAAACTAGCAACTTTTGTGTTGTAATCCCATCTCTTCTAGTGACTCACTATATAACTTTAGTCAAATCGCTTATCCTCCTTTCCCCCATCTGTAAAATAAGAATAATGACGCCTCCATAACAGAGATGCTGTAAGGAGTAATGTTTGTAAAGTGTACATGCCTCAGAATAACATAGAGGATAGAGAATCTTTCATATTAGGGAAATCAAAAGAACTATTTAATCAGAAGAGCAAGTAAATAACAAGAAACACAACAGTGGGATATTGGAACGGGGCCAAATACTGTGACTGATCTGAATAAATGTGGCAAACACAAGTTTGGTATGGCTAAGAACATCTGAAGTTTTGGTCAGCAACTCTGTTAGAAGCATATGTGAGCAACGTTGCTTGGAATCTAACATAGTTTGTTATGCTAGGCACCAGGAAGTGTTTTATCTTTTTTTTGTAATCATTTGTGACTTGTGTACCTCATTATTTGTATTCACTTAAAATCTCTCTCTTTAGAATCACAGTATCCCAGGGATGGAAGAGACCTCCGGAGTCACGGAGTCCAGCCCCCTGCCCAAAGCAGAACCAACCCAACTAAATCAACACAGCCAGGGCTTTCTCAAGCCAAGACTTAAACACCTCTAGGGATGGAGTATCAGAGGGGTAGCCGTGTTAGTCTGAATCTGCAAAAGCGACGAAGAGTCCTGTGGCACCTTATAGACTAACTGAAGTGTAGGAGCATAAGCTTTCGTGGGCAAAGACCCACTTCATCAGATGCATGTCTAGGGATGGAGATTCCACCCCCTCCCCAGGGAACCCAGCCCAGTGCTCCCCCACCCGCCTAGTGAAATAGATTTTACTTAGATCCAACCTGGACCTCCCCCCCTGTAACTTGAGCCCATTGCTCCTTGTTCTGCCACCTGCCCCCACTGAGAACAGCCTCTCTCCATCCTCTTTGGAACCTCCCTTCAGGAAGTTGAAGGCTGCTCTCAAATCCCCCCTCACTCTTCTCTTCTGCAGACTGAACAAACCCAAATCCCTCAGCCTCTCCTCATAAGTCATATGCTCCAGCCCCCTAATCATTTTGGTTGCCCTCCGCTGGACCCTCTCCAAAGTGTCCACATCCTTTTTGTAGAGGGGGCCCCAGAACTGGACACAATACTCCAGATGTGGCCACACCAGAGCCTAATAAAGGGGAATAATCACTTCCCCAGATCTGCTGGCAATGCTCCTCCTAATGCACTCTAATATGCTATGAGCCTTCTTGGCTACAAGGGCGCACTGTTGACTCATATCTAGCTTCTCATTCAGGTCATTAATAAAGATGTTGAACAAAACCAGCCCTAGAACCGAACCTTGGGGCACTCCGCTAGAAACCGACCACCAACCTGACATAGAGCCATTGATCACTACCCGCTGGGCCCGACAATCTAGCCTGATTTCTTTCCACTTTATAGTCCATGTATCCAATCCATACTTCCTTAATTTGCTGGCAAGAATATTGTGGGAGACCATCTCAAAAGCTTTGTTAATGTCAAAGTGTATCACATCCACTGACTTCCCCATGTCCACAGAGCCAGTTACATCATCATAAAAGCTAATCAGATTGCTCAGGCAGGACTTGTCCTTTGTGAATCCATGTTGACTATTCCTAATTGCTTTCCCCTCTTCCAAGTGCTTCAAAATGGATTCCTTGAGGATGCCCTCCCTGATTTTTCTGGGGACTGAGGTAAGGCTGACAGGTCTGTAGTTCCCTGGATCGTCCTTCTTCCCTTTTTTGAAGATGGGCACTACATTTGCCTTTTTCCAATCATCCGGGATCAATCCCGATCTCCATGACTTTTCACAGATAACGGCCAAAGGCTCCGCAATGATATTTGCCAACTCCCTCAGTACCCTCGGGTGCATTAAACCCAGACCTATGGATTTGTGTACGGTTAGCTTTTCTAAATAGTTTTTAACCTGTTCTTTCTCTACCCATCTCCTTCCCATACTGCATTGCCCAGCGCATTTGTCTGGGAGCTGACCTTGTCCGTGAAGACAGAGGCAAAGAAAGCATTGAGTACTTCAGCTTTTCCCACATCATCTGTTACTAGGGCTGTGTCTAGACTACATGGCTCCATCGACGGAGACATGTAGTCTAGACATACCCTAGGTTACCTTCCTCACATCCCCTCTGATCACCCTTTTCTTACTAACTTGCCTGTAGAAACCTTTCTTTTTGCCCTTCACATCACTTGCTAGCTGCAATTCGAATTGTACTTTCGCCTTCCTGATAACTCCCCTGCATTCTCAAGCAAGATATTTATACTGCTCCCTAGTCATCTGTCCAAGTTTCCACTTCTTGTCAGCTTCCTTTTTGTGCTTAAGCTCACCAAGGACGTCCCCGGTAAGCCAACCTGGTCGCCTGCCATATTTGCTTTTCTTACTGCGCATCGGGATGGTTTCTTCCTGAACCTTCAATAAGACTTCCTAAAAATACTGCCAGCTCTCCTGGACTCCTTTCCCCTTCATGTAAGCATCTCAAGAGATCCTGCCCATGGGTTCTCTGAAGGGGTGTGTCTAAACTACATGCCTCCGTCGACAGAGGCATGTAGATTAGCCAGATCGGCAGAGGGAAATGAAGCCGCGATTAAAATAATCACGGCTTCATTTAAATTTAAATGGCTGCCCCGCTCTGCCGATCAGCTGTTTGTCGGCAGATCGGGGCAGTCTGGACGCGCCGCGCCGACAAAGAAGCCTTTCTTGATCGGCACAGGTATGCCTGGTTTCACGAGGCATACCTGTGCCGATCAAGAAAGGCTTCTTTGTCGACGCGGCGCGTCCAGACTGCCCCGATCTGCCGACAAACAGCTGATCGGCAGAGCGGGGCAGCCATTTAAATTTAAATGAAGCCGCGATTATTTAAATCGCGGCTTCATTTCCCTCTGCCGATCTGTCTAATCTACATGCCTCCGTCGACGGAGGCATGTAGTTTAGACACACCCAAGGAGTCACAGTCTGCATTTCTGAAATCCAGGGTGTGTATTTTGCTGCTCCCCTTTCTTCCTTTGGTCAGGATCCTGAAATCTACCATCTCATGATCACTGCTTTCCAGGTTGCCACCTCCATCTGCTTCCCCTGCTAGTTCCTCTATTTGTGAGCAGCAGGGCAATCTGCAGATCGCCCCTGGTCGGACTCTTCAGCACTTGTACCAGGAAGTTATCTCCAACATTCTCCAAACACTCCTGGATTGTGTGTGTCCTGCCGTATTGGTCTCCCAATAGATGCCAGATGTCTGCACTGAGCAGATGTGACAAATTAGAGAAGGAAGAAATGTCAGAGTAATGATTAAAAACTCAAACCCATATGAGTAAAATACAGGAAAAAATAGAAATTCCTACCTGAGTCCAGGCTATGAAAGTGAAAAAATAGCATCATGAAGAACAGCGTCTGAGCAGACAGAGGGGCAGTCACCAGTGAGCCATCGGAGAATGGAAAAATCTTCCTCTTCATAATTTTTCTGAACACAATAAAGGGGGGGGGGAGAGTGCAGAAGGTAATGATATTGGTATACAATAGTGACATTGTAATGAATATGGGTGAGACATGCTAGAATAGGATATGCAAATATGAGAGATGATTTAATAAATGTATTTAAGTATAAAAGTTATTTGTTATATTATGTGGACTGAGGGTTGACAATCTGTTAGAGATCTTTATTTTATAGGTGATACAAGAATAGGAATATCCAGTAAACATTTTACCTTTGATAAATAATGAATGTTATAAAATATAGTGTAAATGTGCTTTGTTTTGTCTATGCAGGTGAAATTTGAAGAAGAATCAGGTAAGACCGTAAGAACATCACAACAGCTATACCGGATAGGAACAAAGGTCCATGTAGCCCGGTGTCCTATCTGCTGACAGTGACCAATGCCAGATGCCCCAGAGGGAGGGAACACAACAGAGAATAATCAAGTGATCCATCCCCTGTCACCCATTCCCAGCCTCTGAGAAACAGAGGCTAGGGATACCATTCCTACCCATCCTGGCTAATAGCCATTCATGGATCAATCCTCCATGAATTTATCTAGTTCTTTTTCAAACCTTGTTAAAGTCCTGGTCCTCACAACATCCTCTGGCAAGGAGTTCCACAGGTTGACTGTGCATTGAGTGAAGATATTTAAAGGTCTTTCCAAATTATTTAGAAGTATTGAAAGTATTTGGGGAAAATGGATGGCATTTTAAATTTGGTCTTTGAATGTCTCATTTTTTTCTGAACAAATTTGCAAAACATATTCATGGATTGTCATCATGTAACCTCCAAGGTAAGTAACCGTATACTGGCACATCACCCCAAAAGCAGGTTCAATTGAAAACACCTCAATAGCTTCATGACAATGCAATGGGAGATAATGAGGGACTTGAGCTCTCACCACTCTGAGTGCAAGCTAGTCCCTGACCAGTTCCAACACCCTTACCCCTCTCTACCACCTGTGGGTCCCATTCTGACACACCTCTCTCTGGGGAACAAAGAGAGGAGAGGGCATTAGATTATTCTGTAGATACAGGAGACAAGAGCAGTGAAGGCATTAGCATGCAGCCAATTCATTCTGTGACCGGGCCGATCATTCCCAGGCAGCAAGAGGCAGTAGAGGCGGAGAATTGGGTTGTGGTGTATTTGGAGAATTTATTTTTAAAATACCAAGCCAGTCTTCCCAGTATGCTACCTTCAGCGACAGTCAAACCTTGGAAACCAGGAAAGACAGAGCTAATGTGCAATCCTTTCCCGCAACACAAACATAGCTCTGCCTACTTTGTGTGATGCTCCAGTACCCCAATAACACAATGATAATACTCTGCCCTCACAGATCCTGTACATCACTCTGGTAATGCAGCATAGGAGGCTTGTAGAACAAAATCCAAGACCTTTTTGCTAAGGTCAGACTCAAATTTAGGGCCAGTGCAGCACTCAGGAGTTACCCACACCTGGGGTACATTCAAACTCGGAGTCTGCTCAGATCCCTGAGTGACGTGGTTTAATTGAGCTAAGTTTTAGATGTCACCCAGGACTGACAATCCGCACACAAAGAAGACTCTTGTGCACCTCTCCTGAAACATTCTACACAACTCAGTGCTTGAATGGGTCAGACTTTATCGCTCAGGGCATGTCTAGACAGCAGGGTTATTACAGGGTACTAAAGGTATTCCAAAATAGCACCCCACATCTTTTAAGTGCGCCCATTGTTTCAAAATACCTTTGAAATAACGGGCGTGCTATTTCAGCATCCCTGCAACCCGCGTTCCATGCCAAAATTCAAAATGCGCTATTTCAAAATACAATTGAACGAAGATATGCAATTTGCATAGCGCAAATTGTGTACCTTATTTCAAGTTTAGGGTTCTGTGTAGATGCACCCTCAAGGATTAGCATTAGTCACAACTCCTCATAACCCAGGACAACTTTGCTAAACCGCTCCAATTAACCCCTCCACAGCAGGGATGGCCCAAGCTATGCATGTGCCCCAGGCTCCGGGTGCCCAGCGCATGCATGGCCCCGCCCCTGCCTGGTCCGGCAGTTCCACGCGACACCCCTTACAACGGGGCGTCCTGGGCGGTAGCCCCGTCAGCCCGTAGAGTGGGCCGGCTCTGCTCCACAGCTAAGTACTACTACACTTAATAGTAACTCCAGCTGACACAAGAACAAATGGATATAAGCTGGCTAGTAGGAAGTTTAGATTTGAGATTAGACAAAGGTTTCTAACCATTAGAGGAGTGAGGTTCTGGAACGGCCTTCCAAGGGAAGTAGTGGGGGCAAAAGATCTATCTGGTTTCAAGATTAAACTAGATGGGTTTATGAAGAGGATGGTTTGATGAGATAACATGATCTTGGTAACTAATTGACCATTCATTATCAGTGGGAAATAGGTCAATGGAGGGATGATAGGAGTTACTATAGAGAACTTTCTGGGTGTCTGGCTGATGAGTCTTGCCCACATGCTCAGGGTTTAGCTGATCGCCATATTTGGGGTCAGGAAGGAATTTTCCTCCAGGGTAGATTGGCAGAGGCCCTGGAGGTTTTTCGCCTTCCTCTGTAGCATGGGGTACAGATCACAGCTAGAGGATTCTCTGCATCTTGGGGTCTTCAAAGTATTTGAAGGATTCAATATCTGAGATATAGGTGAGAGGATTATTCTAGGAGGGGTGGGTGAGATTCTGTGGCCTGCATTGTGCAGGGGGTCAGACTAGATGATCATAATGGTCCCTTCTGACCTTAAAGTCTATGATGAGTCTATGAGTGCATGCAGATAAACAGCAGTTCAGATGGATGGGACACCACACAAGCAACAGCACAGTCTCTTAGTTCTTCCTTGTGTCTGTTTGTTATGGCATTACTCCATGTTAACAAAGTTTCAGGCCATTTAATATTATTGTGACTTTGAACAATCTTAACTCCATATGGAGAGTTAAGTTTCTATCTCCATAGAATTTTTTTAGAGGGGAAGGAGGTTGAACTACCTCCCTGAATTGAAATTCAAACATAAAATCCCCACTTAGGCTCCAGTCTTTTCAATAATAGCAGCTCATCTGTAAGATTAATATATGCAGGGAAATATAAAATCAAGCGACTGAAATACAGTACAGTTAGCAACGCTTGCCTACCTGCTGAATCCTGGAAAGCAGCCCTCGAACAACTTCATGCTCCAACAAGCTCTTAGCTTCTTTAACTTCCGCAAGGGAAACCAAATCTCTGTGAATGTTACCAACTCCCTCAGTTGTGCTCCTATGAAATCCAGTTCCAAAGACTTTGATTCCAGATTATGTACGCATGTTTAATTGAATGCGACATGACTGGCATGTCCTTCCTTGTGCTGCAATCACCAGCATTGAACACGAAAGAAAGGCAATCACTGGGAAATGAATGTAACAATCTCTGACACTCCCGGGGCATAGTTCAGAGATGCAGATAGGTGCCTAGCAGGATCTGCAAAAGCACAGTGCGCAAAGTAGCAAAGTGATCATTTTCCAGATGTGAGGAAAGCAGCCTCAGAAACTCAGGTGGAGCCAAGAGAAAGTCCATGTTCCACTCTAACACAATGACTGCAAAAATGCCATCATGGGGGACCACTTTAGTGTTTCTCAATAAGCAGGGAAGAAACATTCTGGCTGTGTCTAGACTGCATCCGTTTTCCATAAAAGGGATGCAAATTAGACACATCGTAATTGCAAATGAAGCGGGGATTTAAATCCCCCAGCTTCATTTGCTTAAACATGGTTGCCGCTTTTTTCTGGCTCGGAGCTTTGCGTGAAAAAAGCGCTAGTCTAGACGCGGATCTTTCAGAAAATAAAGCTCCCTTATTCTTTATTTTAAGAGGAGTAAGGGATCTTTCGGAAAAGGCTTTATTTTCCAAAAGATCCGCGTCTAGACTAGCGCTTTTTTCACGCAAAGCTCCGAGCCAGAAAAAAGCGGCAACCATGTTTAAGCAAATGAAGCTGGGGGATTTAAATCCCCGCTTCATTTGCAATTACGATGTGTCTAATTTGCATCCCTTTTACGGAAAACGGATGCAGTCTAGACACAGCCTCTTTGTTTACAAGAAATCGTGTTATTTTCCAGGGATTTGGAGACACCTCACTGCACCTGACCTCAGCATGAGGAAGCTTTCCCAGGGGGGAGTGACAGGGGGCAGTTATAGACTACCCCTTGGAGGGCCACCCAGAGGGCTGACAGCCACTGCTACTGGCCTTCCTGCTCTCCAGAGCACCTCATTACCTGGTCCTGCTGGGCCAGCTCCCTGGTCTCCCCCAGCCAAGGCCCAGAGCTGAGGTCCCTGGCCCCTCTCCCACCTCCAAGTAGCAGCACAGACACTCAACCACTTCAGGTCCAAGGATCGTGCAGTTTAGGGCCCAGCTTCCTGCAATAGTGTAACCACCACCAGGCAGATCTGAACCTGGGACCTCAAGCCGCGTATAGATAGGAGCCGATACCCTCTGAGCTCCAAGCCAGCTGCCTCTCAGCCCCTGCTGTAAAGGTCTCTTGATCATAACTGTTGCTGTGGTGTGTGGGTTACAACAGCACTCCCCACATGGGATCAGAACCCCCAGTGAATTACTTGGGTCAGCCTCCTCTAACAATGACAGGGGGCATGTGCATACTGGTGCCCCCATCCCCCTCTCTGGTAACAATTATTTACACTGGGTTTGATAGAAAATAGAAGTGATTTTATTCAGTACAAGCCGTAGGACTGGCGTGGTTATAAGTGAGGGCAGGCAGAGCAAAGTAGGTTACAAATCAAAAGAACCAAAACCACTGAGACCTCAGCACAAACTTACTCAAATTTACCCGAAAACCTCTTTCCAGCTGCCCCTCCAAACCTGGCCTGTCTCCCCACCCGGGGGTCCTCAGCTCCTCCCCTCAGGTGCAGCCCAGCCAGAAGACCAAAGACTGCAACCTTCCTATGCTTTTTAAAGAATTCCCTTTTTACCTGGCTGCTCCCCACCAACCACTGCTAGGACTTAAGGACAGAAGGCTGTTTGCATACAACTGCCCAGACACTGAGCCTCTCTTGATGACTTTCATTCACAGGTTTAGCCATCATAAACCATTCCCTACTCCGCCTGTCTGATTTCACACACTGGAGTGACACACCCACCACAGTAAGACACACAGACCCGGCAGATAATGACACGAAGACCGATGGGTTACATGAAATAATTGCTCAAAGCACCTATGTATAGTCATGTCCACGGAGGGCTGGGGGGGCGGGTTCTGTGCCAGACAGGACGTGGTGATTCTCTGGGACCCGTCCAGCCCCACGTGTCTGTCAGCGGCCCCTGTCCTGTGTGACACCCTGGCCATGGAGCCTGGCTCAGGGCCGTGGCAGTCAGTGGTCAGATCCCCTTGGCCGTGGGGCCTGGCCCTACCGCACCTCTCAGTACCGGGTGCTGCACTGTGTGTGTGTTGTTAGGGCC